AAGCAAACTGCACCCTGACCTCCCTCTGAGAGAGAAGCCTCAGTCTGCTCTCCTGTGGGTGCTGCAGAGCCCATATAAATTTCCCCTTGGCCACTGGCAGAGTAGGTTCTGAGTCACGGTCCCTGGGGATGCAGGATCTTCTGCTTGTACCCAAAACCACGGCAGCGGTTTTGGAACTGCCCAGACAGCCAGAGAGGTTCCAAGCAGCGATGGCACACTGAGATTTTCCCGATGGCCCGGGCTGGGAGTGCCTGGTCTTTCTGGATCTAAGAGCGCCGGGCTTGCGCACACCTCTCTCAGGGGAGGTTGTGGGTCATGCGCACGCATCTCAGGCTCTGGTGGAATGGCTCAGGTCTAAGAGCACCAGGCTGGGCTTTCATGCACCTCTCTCAGGGGAGGGTGAGGGGCGCGCAGGTCTCAGGCTTTGTAGCACAGTTCAGTGTTCTGCCATCTGGCAAGGCTCCCATCCACTCACAGGAGCCAGACCCCACGCGTTCTCGGGCACGCTGGTGGCTCAGGGACCAAGACTTGGTTTCTCCGCCTCACTTTCTCTGGCTCAGCGCCAAAGGAGGCTGTCCTGGGTCTGGGGACTTAAGCCCCTGTCCCTAGCCTCCCCGATTCCCACAATTCCCCCTCCCCGCGATCCTTTGCTCTTTTGGAGTGCTTTCTATCAGTCTCCAAGTTAATGCTGGTCCCCAGATGAAGGGCACTCTCGTATTAGGGGTATTCCTTTCCAGTCGGTCGCCTCTGGTGGCTCCCTCCCCCTTTTATCTTTCGCTATCAGTCCGAAGTTCCCACTCCACTTTACCTGCCCACTGGCATCTTCTGCCCCTGTAGAGATCCAGATGTGTATAATTCTGATCTCAGGCTGATTTCATGGGTTATCAGAGTTCTTTGGTAGGGAATCAGCTCACTTTAGGGTACAGGTTGAAACGGTGCCTCCTCCTACTTCCCCGCCATTTTGTCTCCCCTCCTTTCTTTTTCTTTTTTTGTTTTCTTTTCTCCTCCCCCTCCCCCTCCCCCTTCTTCTTCTTCTTCTTCTTCTTCTTCTTCTTCTTCTTCTTCTTCTTCTTCTTCTTCTTCTTTTTCTTCTTCTTCTTCTTCTTCTTCTTCTTCTCAAATCGCCTCTGTACCTAGCATTTCCTTTTTGCTCTTTAGTGTTGCATTCCCTCAGGCACAGGAATACTCATGAGACCAGTGCAAACCCTCATAAGACTGGGCGAACTGTGCACCTGAGCCAACCCTGACCTTGTTCAGCTCATGCCAGTGGCAGAGGGTGGCAGCTGAGAAACATTTCCCAGAAGGCTGGGCTGCATATGAGCCAAGGCTCTAAGCCCACACCACATATCCACTGTGCCATGAATTTTACTTACAATATACAAATTCTAAGGTTAAATTATTAACAATTTCAAATGGAAGACTACAAAATATTACTTCAAGTGCAAGGGTGACTGTACTGGTCACATGTACCAATCACAGAAGAACAGATCAAGACCTCCTCCTGAAACATTATCTTGTCCAGAGTTTGTGGTCCTTCTTGGGATTGTGAATAGTTAGTAGTAGGGGTGTCATGAGCCTTGGAGGAGTGATGGACAGCCTTCTTACCTATGCTGCCCTTCCTCCAAGACACCTCCTAATCATGCCATGTTCAACTATTTGCCTGCAGGTGGAAGGAATAGAGGTAAGGGAGTGGGCATGGCCTACCTAGATCTGTCAAACTGGGCCACACTCTGTCCAAAGCTAGCTCCATCTTCTTGAAATATCACAGGCTCCTCCACATCCAAGTTGAATCCATGATAAGAAGCCAGGACTGAGGAATATGGATAAGAAGGCAAGGGTAAGAGGAGCAGTCAGAAAATCCTCACATCCTCTGGACCACTGACTTCTTGGGATCTTGATGCCTACCCCAATCCAACTCATTTACCCAAAAGAAAGGTGTTCTCTTTTCTCTTTTTCTTTGTTTCCTGATTTGCCATCTGTTTGATTCCTGTTTCTCTTCCTCCCTCAGAAATTACCAAACAGTTATCAAAAAATTATCGTACAAAGAATGACAATCCAGAAAAATGCCCCCTCAAGGACATTTCAAAGGATATCCATAATCCTGGTCTGTTAGATCAAGCATGTCGCCTAAAGATAAAGTGACCATTGAGTTTATTTTCTAAATTAAGACCTTCTGTGAGTGAAAGGGGCACTCTCAATAATTACATCAGAGAGGAGGCAGGATGGAAGAAGAGTAGGGGACCCCAATTCAAGCAGTCCCCTGAATTTAGCTGAATATCTATCAAACCAGTTTGAACACCCATAGAATCAGCCTGAGATGTAAGGATATATTCCTGGATTTCTGTAAGCAGAAAAGTGACTGCTTTTTGCAAGATATGGTGTGCAAAGTTGTGAATCTGAGGGGAGGTGTTGGAAGATAAAGGCAAGGGGGAGGGAGCCTCCATAAACTGGTTCCTTGAAAGTCATATAACACCCAAAATTGGAACCCTTAAAAATCTGCTCTAGTGAGAGATACGCCTCACCAAAAATGGTTCTGGAATGAAAAGACAGAATTCTAGGTAGGACATTGTGGTCTTGGGATCCTAGCAGTCAGAGAGCAAACAGGGGTGCCTGAACTGGTAGAGTGCCCAAGTAGTGGAGCCAAGAAGCAGGTATTGTTCAGTGAGCCCAGGAGAGGACTATCAGCTCAGGTCACCTTAAACCATCAGTAACTGCTTTTTTCCTGAACAGCCTGAAAAGGACTGGAACCTGCACCTGCAACAGGAAAAAGCTCAGTAGCACCCCAGACAGGACATTAGGGTGGCACCCAGACATGATCCAGGAGCTTTGGGTGTCCATGCATGAGCATGCCACCAGTCAGGGTTTTAGAGGGAAAGGGCAATGGCATTCCTGGGCCCCGGGACTACCTCTGAGAAAGTTACTGTGGGCAAGAACAGATGGAGGACAAGCCTATGGATCTCACAAGACTGAAATGCAAATACCAGGGGAAAATAGTACATTGCATGCCAGGTGTTACTTCACAACTCATTTATTTTTTAGATAAAATTCTCCTTTCCTTTTCTTTCTTTTTCTTCTGCTTTTTCTTTTATTTTTTTTTCTTTTTACCTTCATCCCATTTCAACCTGGTGCTTATTATACCAACTTATATTTCATAGTCACTTTTTAACGTCTATCTTTTTCCATCTACATTTTTATAGATATATGCTTCATTTTAGTCCCTTTCCCACTCTACTCAATTTTATCTTTATATATCTTTATATATAATTTTATCATATATAAATTTATCATATATATAAATTGTCATATATATATAATATACATATGCATACACACACACATATAAGCTTTACTTTCCTTACAATTTTGGGATGTGCTGTCTTCTAACACACAGACCAAAATTCACTCAGGGATAGGTGGATATTACCCTGCTTTGTCACACTGTGAGAATATAGTCTCTCCTTCCCTCCTCCTTTTTTAAAAAAAAAAATTTATTCTTGTGTTTCATTTTGGCTTTGTTTTTCTGTGGTGGCTTGTGACTACTCCAGTATTTTCTAAGGTGCATCTCACTTGGGTGTGGTTGATATTTTGGACTCTTCCATTTACCCACCTGGCATTCTCTGGATGGAATAAGGAGGAACACACACACACACACACACACACACACGCAGTGTTCTCTGCCACAGAGCTAATCAATATGGATATAAGTAAGATTTCAGAGATAGAATCCTGGAGAGCAATCATAAAGTTAATGGCTAGGCTTGAGAAAGGTATAAGTGACAATATAGAATCTCTAAGGGCAGAAATGAGATCTAATCAGGCCAAACTTAAAAATGCTATCAATGAGATGCAGTCTAAACTGGATACACTAACAGCTAGGGTCAATGAGGCAGAAGAAAGAATAAGTGATCTAGGAGATAAGCTGCTGAAAAGGAAGGAAGTTGAGGAAAACAGATAGACAACTAATAGCCCATAAATAAAGCTTGGAGAATTTAATGATGCCCTGAAACGTTCCAATGTCAGAATTATTGGAATCCCTGAGGGGGTAGAGATAGAGGGGGCTGGAAGGTATATTTGAGCAAATCATAGCTGAGAACTTCCCTAATCTGGGGAAGGAAACAAGCATTCATGTCCAAGAGACAGAGAAAACCTCTCCCAATATCAATGAAAATAAATCAACAACCTGACATATAGTAGTGAAGCTTGCAATCTTACAGCCAAAAAAGCTATGGAGAGGAGATTCCTTACATATGGAGGGAGAAACATCAGAATAACATCAGACCTATCCACAGAAACCTGGCAATCCAGAAAGGGCTGGTAAGACATATGCAGGGTACTAAATGAGAAGAACATGCAGCCAAGAATACTTCACCCAACAAGGTTCTCATTCAGAATGGAAGGAGAGATACAGAGCTTCCAGAAGAGACAGAAAGTGAAAGATTATGTGACCACCAAGCCATCCCTACAAGAAATATTAAGAGGGATTCTGTAAGTGAAGAGAGACCCCAAGAGTCACATAGACCAGAAAGAAGCAGAAAATCTACAGAAACAGGGACTTTCATGACACTAAATTCACATCTTTCAATAGTTACTCTGAATGTAAATGGACTGAATTCTTCCATCAAAAGACACAGAGTTTCAAATTGGATACAAAAGCAGGACCCATCCTTTTTCTGTCTACAGGAGACTCATTTTGAAACTAAAGACACTTCCAGATTGAAAGTGAGGGGATGGAAAACTATTTATCATACCAATGGACCTCAAAAGAAGCTGGGGTAACAATTCTCATATCAGACAAATTAGATTTTAAACCAAAGACAATAGTAAGAGATGTAGAGGGACACTATATCATACTTAAAGGATCTATCCAACAAGAAGAGATAACAATCATAAATATCTATACCCCCAACATGGAAAAGGCCAATTATATAAACCAATCAATAATCAAAATAAAGAAACATGTTGATTATTATTACTAATGTATTAATACATTAATAGTAGGAGATGTCAAAACTCTTCACAGCCAAGGATGGATTATCTAAGCAGATCAACAAAAAAAAACAAGACCTTTGAATGACACATAGGACCAGATGGAATTCATAGACATATACAGAAGATTCCACCCTAAAACAATAGAATACTCATTCTTCTCAAATTCATATGGAACTTTCTCCAGAATAGACCACATACTGGTCCTCAAATCAGGTCTCAATCAATTCCAAAAGATTGCAATTATTCCCTGCATATTCTCAGACCAAAATGTTTTGAAACTGGAACTCAACCACAAGAAATTTGGAAGGAATTCAAACACTTGGAAGTTAAAGAGCATCCTGCTAAAGAATGAATGGGTCAACCAGGATATTAAAGAAGTACTTAAACAATTCATTTAAACTAATGAGAATGAAAACACATTGGTCGAAAACCTATGGAATACAAATGTAGTGAAAAGAAGGGACATATGCACCCCAGTGTTCATAGCAGCAATGTCTACAATAGCCAAACTGCTGAACGAGCTAAGATGCCCTTCAACAGACGAATGGATAAAGAAGATGTGGTCCACATACATGATGGGGTATTACTCAGCCATCAGAAAGGATGCATACCCAGCTTTTGCATCAACATGGATGGGACAGGAGGAGATTATGCTGAGTGAAATAAGTCAAGCAGAGAAAGTCAATTATCATATGGTTTCACTTATTTGTGGATAAGTGAATTTGGGAAGTGCTATCCCAAATTGTGCTATTTGGGATAGCATGGAGGACATTTGAATAAGGAAGGGAAAAATGAAGGGGGAGGATAACGGAGGAGGAGATGAACCATGAGAGACTGTGGACTCCAAGAAACAAACTGAGGGTTTTAGAGGGGAAGGGATGGGGGGATCAGTTGCCCTGGTGATGGGTACTAAGGAGGGCACATATTGCATGGAGCACTGGGTGTTATATGTAAATAATGAATCTTGGAATACTGCATCAAAAACTAATGACATACTGTATGGTGACTAACAAAACATAATAAAAAATAATAATAATAAAATAAGAAGAAAGAAAGAATGACAAACCAGAAAAAGAAAGAAAACTTATGGGATACTGCAAAGGCCATCCTAAGAGGGAAGTATGTAACCATCCAAGGCTCTCTCAAAAAATTGGAAAAATCCCAAATGCACAAGCTCACCTTACACCTAAAGGACCTGGATAAAGAGCAATAAATAAAGCCTAAACAAAGCAGGAGAAGAGAAATAATAAAAATTATAGGAGAAATCAATAAAATACAAACTAGTTCATTCTTTGAAAGAATGAATAAGATCAATAAACTTCTAGCCAGTCTTATCCAAAAGAAAAGGAAAAGGACTTAAATTAATAAAATCATAAATGAAAGAGAAGAGTGCAGACTAATGCAAGGAAATAGAAACAATTATTAGAAATTATTACCAGCAACTATATGCTAACAAATTAGGCAAACTGGAAGGAATGGATGCCTTCCTGAAAACTTATAAACTACCAAGACTGAAACAGGAAGAAATAGACAATCTGACCAGATGAATCACCAGCAAGGAAATTGAAGCAGTAATCAAAAACCTTCCAAAATATAAGAGTCCAGGGACAGATAAATTCCCAAGAGAATTCTACCAAACATTAAAAGAAGAAATCATACCTATTCTACTGAATCTGTTTCAAAAAATAGAAATCGAAGGAAAACTTCCAAACTCATTCTTTAAGGCTGGCATTAACCTGATCCCAAAACCAGACAAATACCATATGAAAAAGAATTACAGACCAATATCCCTCATGAAAATGAATGCCAATATACCCACCAAGACCCTAGCCAATAGGATGCAACAGTACATTAAAAGGATTATTCACCACAAAAAAGTGAGATTTATTCCTGGGATGCAAGGGTGGTTCAACATTCACAAATAAATCAATGTGATAGATCACAATCATAAAAGAACAAACAAGAGCCATCCTAATCAAAATACCAATGGCATTTTTCCAAGTGCTGAACCAAACAATCCTAAAACTTGTATGGAACCAAAAAGACGCCAAATTGCCAAGGAAATGTTAGAAAGGAAAATGAAAGCTGGAGGCATCACATCTTCCAATTTCAAGCTATATTACAAAGCTGTGATCACCAAGACAGCATGGTACTGGCACAAAAATGGACACATAGACCAATAGAACAGAATAGAGAGCCCAGATGTGGCCCCTCAACTCTATGTCAAGTAATCTTTGACAAAGCAGGAAAAAAACATCCAATGGGAAAAAGACAGTCTCTTCATTATATGGTGCTGGGAGAATTGGATAGTTATGTATAGAAGAATGAAACTAGACCATTCTGTCACACCATACACAAAGATAAACTCAAAATGGATGAAAGACCTCACTGTGAGACAGGCATCCATCAAAATCCTAGAGGATAACATAGGCAGTAACCTCTTTGACAACAGGCACAACAACTTCTTTCAAAACAAGTCTCCAAAGGCAAGGGAAACAAAAGGGAACAGGAACATTTAAGATTTCAGCAAGATAAAAAGGTTCTGCACACAAAGGAAACAGTCAACAAAACTAAAAGGCAATCCCCGGAATGGGAAAGGATATTTGTAAATGACACTATGGACAAAGGCATGATATCCAAGATCCATAAACTTCTATAATCTTCACAAACTGAACACCCAAAAAAACAGATAATCAAGACCAAAAAATGGGTGGAGGAGATGCATAGACACTTCCCCAAAGAAGATATACAAATGGCTAACAGACACATGAGAAAATGTTCATCATCATTAGCCATTGGGGAATTTCAAATCAAAACCACATTGAGAAATCACCTCACACCAGTTAGAATGGCAAAACTTGACAAGGTAGAAAACAACAAATGTTGGAGAGGATGTGGAGATAGGGGAACCCTCTTATACTGTTGGTGGGAATGCAAGTTGGTGTAGCCACGTTGGAAAACAGTGTAGAGGTTTCTCAGAAAATTAGAAATAGAGTTACCCTATTACCTGGCAATTGCACTACTGGGTATTTATCCCAAAGAAACAGATGTAGTGAAAAGAAGGGTCATGTGTACCCCAATGTTCATAGCAGCAATGTCCACAATGGCCAAACTCTGGAAGGGCCCAAGATGCTCTTCAAAAGATGAATGGATAAAGAAGATGTGGTCCATAGATGTAATGGAATATTACTCAACCATCAGAAAGAATTAATACCCACCATTTTCATCGACATGGATGGAAGTGAAGGAAATTATGCTAAGTGAAATAAGTCAAAGAGAAAGACAATTATCGTTTGGTTTCACTTATTTGTGGAATGTAAGAAATAGTGTGGAGGACATTAGGAGAAGGAAGGGAAACAAAGAGAGGGGAGACAAACCATGAGAGACTATGGACTCTGGGAAACAAACTGAGGGTTTTAGAGGGGAGGGAGGGATGAGTTAGCCTGGTGATGGGTACTATGGAGGGCACATATTGCATGGAGCACTGGATGTTATATGCAAACAATGAATCATGGAACATTATATCTAAAACTAATGATATACCATATGGTGACTAACATAACATAATAATAAATAAATAAATACATAAGAGACAAGAGCCATATGATCCTCTCAACAGATGCAGAGAAAGCATTTCACAAAATACAACATCATTTCTTGATGAAAACTCTTCAAAGTAAAAGAATAGAGGGAACATAACTCAATATCATAAAAACAATCTATGAAAAGACCACAGGGAATATTATTCTTGATGGAGAAAAACTGAAAGCTTTCCCCTTATAGTAAGGAGAGAGATGCCCACTCTCACCACTACTGTTAAATATAGTATTAGAAATCCTGGCCTCAGAAATCAGGGAAAAAAAGAAATCAAAGGCATTCAATTTAGCAAAGAAGTCAAACTCTCTCTCTCTCTCTCTTGCTCTCTCTCTCTCTCTCTCTATCATCTCTCCATCTTCCTTTCAAAGAATGATTGTGTTTCTGAGTATGAAAATGGGCTCTATGGCTGGACAAGTAGGAGGGTGCCAAATGTCTCAATCTCAAATGCCCCGGAGGGCAGGCAGGTGACATCAGTGAGTGAAGTGGGTAAGTGTGAGCACCAGAGAATTACAGGTACCTACAGTTTGTGGCCCTTTTAAAGGAAGTAGCAATTACCAAGCTCTAGTGTTCAGAGCTCTAGACCATCCCATTTCTCAAGAGAATCTGACAGTCTGGATTTTGTGTGGAATCTAATTTTTAACTGACACACAAGTAATTTCAAGTGACACATGGGTATGGTCTTGATACAGTTTTCTTTTTCTGTACTATTCTCTTGGCAGCAGTGGGACAGCATACCTGAAATCAAGACTTGAAGGACATGAGGGACCAAAAAGGTGATATACAACATATCCCCTCCCTAGTGACCCCTATGGCCTTCCCCCTGAGGACCTGGGACTCTGTCCCCCATACCACACACACACCAGGACCCCAACAGGAGGAATTATGGAAAGGGAGCACATCTTCCTCCCAATCATAGCCTACAAGTCCATCTTCTCTCATCTTTGCTCGGGTTATGACCCTCTCCTGATTCCAGGCCAATCCTCCTTCCACACAAGACTCTGGACACTAGGATCCTCCCCTGTTCTCAGCTCTTCCAGAGAGCTATATGAGCTAACCACCAGCCCCAGCCTGCCCTACCAGACGAAGATGCACCCTCAAGGATTCTCCCAGGCCTGAAGGCCTCCACTCACCACCCAGGAGGAGCACAATTCCAAAAGCCATCACTGAGCAAGCATTGAAGAAGTGAAGAGTTGAGCAGTAGAACACTGAAGGGCACTCAGTGCCCTTGGGGAGAGTTAAAATACTGACTCAGGGCCTTGAAATAACAGAAGGAGGAGCACAGTCAGGAAGTTCTTGGTTAATCACAAAACAAAGGCAGGGGCAGGAAGCCAAAGACACCCTTGGGGAAAATCCCCAATACTCTCCCACCACTACCACCTCTGTAAATCTGGCTTCCTTTTCCAGTGCCTGGCTTTCCCAGAAGACCATATTCCCCCAGCCCTTGAGACCCAGTTGGTAACCAGGGCAACCTGGGACCCCTCTGGGACCCCTCTGGGACCTCAGCAACCAGGTTGCATATAAGTGAAAGTGGTGAAACAGATGCCTGCAGAAGCCCCACTGCATGAATGTGAGCCTGAAGAAAGGCAGACCTCCACCTCAGATAGCAGTGTTGGGGGAGGGGTAGCATAAATGAGGGTGTTGTTTAAAAAAGCAGACTCCATCAGGAGATAAATGGATATCTACCAACTGCGGACCACAGGGAAAGGGAGGGAAAACTGAAGAGAAAGGGGTGGGGGGGTGGGGTAATCAGGTGATGGGTATTAAGGAAGGTATGTGTGGTGATGAGTATTGGGTGTCATAGCACAACTAATGAATTGTTGAACACTACATCAAAAACTATGGATATATTATACATTGGTGAATTGAACATAATAAAAAATTTTAAGTACATGGATTTTCTTTTTATCTTATATTATTTTATTTTATTTTATTTTATTTTTTCAGTGTTCCAAGATGCATTGTTTATGCACCACACCCAGTGCTCCACACAATATGTGTCTTCCTTAATGCCCACCACCAGGCTCACCTAATCCCCTACCCCCTTGCCTCTTAGAGGAGAACATAGTACATGGATTTTCTATAGGCGATTAGAATTAAATCTACCCAATCCATTTTTTAGAAATAGAGGTAAATGGATAATCAAATGGGCAAATGGGCTTAGTAGTCATATAATAGGTTGACTAGTCAGTGTTAAAAGAGAACAGACTACATATATATGTAACAACATGGATGAATTTCAACTTTGTCTAGGTAAAAAAGGTAGACACCAGGCTGCATAATGTTTGATTCCTTTCATACAAATAGGCAAAACCAATCTATAAGGATAGAGATAGAACAATAATTGCCTCAGATGAGGCAGACAGGGAACTTCTAACACTTGTAAATTTAACATTCAACCCTTTATGTTTTATTATTTAATAGTTTAATATTTTAACATTTGTTAAATGGGAGAATTTTTGCATCCATGTTCATCAGGGATATTGGCCTCTTTTGGTAATTCTTTTTTGGTGAGGGCTTTGTATTGTTTTGGAATCAGGGTAATGCTGACCTCATAGAATGAGTTTGGAAGTTTTCCTTCCTTTTCTATTTTTTGTAGCAATTTGGGAAGAATAGGTATCAATTCCTCTTTAAATGTTTGATAGAATTCCCTGGGAAGACATCTGGCCCTGGATTTTAGTTGGTTAGGATATTTTTGAATACAGATTTTGATTTCTTTTCTGGTTATCAGCCTGTTCAAATTTTTTATTTCTTCCTGTTTCACTCCTGGTAGTTTACATGTTTCTAGGAATTTATCTGTTTCTTCCAGATTGCCTGATTTTTGTTGCCATGTAATTTTTCACAATTTTCTCTGATAATTGTTTTTTTTTAAGATTTTATTTATTTATTTGACACAGAGAGAGATCAGAAGTAGGCAGAGAGGCAGGCAGAAAGAGAGGAGGAAGCAGGCTCCCCGCTGAGCAGAGAGCCTGATGCGGGGCCCGATCCCTGGACCCTGAGATCATGACCTGAGCCGAAGGCAGCGGCTTAACCCACTGAGCCACCCAGGCGCCCCTCTGATAATTGTTTATATTCCCATGGTTTTGCTTTGATCTCTCCTCTTTCATAATTTTACCTATTTGGGTCCTTTCTTTTTTCTTTTTGATATGTCTGGATAAGTGTTTATCAATTTTATGATTTTTTTTTCGAAGAATCAGCTTCTAGTTTCTTTTTTTAATTGTGTTATGTAGGTCGCCATACAATACATCATTAGGTGTTTTTTAATTTTTTATTAACATATAATGTATTATTAGCCAGAGGGGTACAGGTCTGTAAATTGCCAGATTTACACACTTCACAGCACTCACCCTAGCACATACCCTCCCCAATGTCCACAACCCAACCACTCACTCCCTAACCCCCACCCCCAGCAACCCTCAGATTGTTTTGTGAGATCAAGAGTCTCTTATGATTTGTGTCCCTCCTGCTCTCATCTTGTTTCATTTCCTCCTTCACTACCCCCCAACACCCCCCCCACGTTCCTTCTCAAATTCTTCATATCAGGGAGTTCATATTATAATTATCTTTCTTGGACTGACTTATTTCACTCAGCATAATACCCTCTAGTTCCAACCACGTCATCACAAATGGCAAGATTTCCTTTGATGGTTGCATAGTATTCCACTATATATATATACCACTTCTTCTTTATTCGTTCATCTGTTGATGGACATCTAGGCTCTTTCCATAGTTTGGCTATTGTGGACATTGCTGCTATAAACATTCGGGTGCATGTGCCCCTTTAGATCACTACATTTGTATCTTTAGGGTAAATACCCAGTAGTGCAATTGCTGGGTCATAGGGTAGCTCTATTTTCAACTTTTTGAGGAACCTACATGCTGCTTTCCAGAGTGGCTGCACCAGTTTGTATTCCCACCAACAGTGTAGGAGAGTTCCCCTTTCTCCACATCCTCACCAGCATCTGTCGTTTCCTGACTTGTTAATTTTAGCCATTCTGACTGGTGTGAGGTGGTATCTCATTGTGGTTTTGATTTGTATTTCCCTGATGCTGAGTGATGTGGAGCACTTTTTCATGTGTCTGTTGGCCATCTGGATGGCTTCTTTACAGAAATGTCTGTTCATGTCTTCTGCCCATTTCTTGATTGGATTATTTGTTCTTTGGGTGTTGAGTTTGATAAATTCTTTATATCAGATAAAGGGCTAGTATCCAAAATCTATATATTATATATATATATATACATATATATGTATATACATATATGTGTGTGTGTGTGTGTGTGTGTGTATATATATATATATATATATATATATATATTTAATTTTATTAATTTGGGTCCTTTCTAATTTCTTATGGATAAGACTGGCCTGGTCTGTGGATCTCACTAACTCTTTCAAAGAATCAGCTACTAGTTTCTTTGATCTGCTTTAATGTATTTCTGGTTTCTAATTCATTGATCTCTGCTCTAATCTTAATTATTTCCTTTCTTGTGCATGTGTTATGTTTAATTTGTTGTATCTTCTCCAGACCTTTAAGGTGTAAAAATAGTTTGTGTATCCGGGATTTTTCTTATTTTTTGAGTGAATCTTGGATGGCTATGTATTTCCTTCTGAGGACTGCATTTGCTGAATTCCATAGGATTTGGATTGATGTATCTTCATTCTCATTGGTTTCCATGAATTGATTAAGTTCTTCTTCGATTTCCTGATTGATCCAAACATTCTAAAGCAGGATGGTCTTTACCTTCTAAGTATTTGAATTTCTTCCAAACTTTTTCTAGGGATTGAGTTTCACAGCATTGTGGTCTGAGAATATGAACGGAATAATGTCAATATTTTGGTATTGGTTGAGACCTCATTTGTGGCCCAGTATGTGGTCTATTCTGGAGAAAATTCCATGTGTGCTTGAGAAGAATAGGTATCTGTTGTTTTAGGAGAGAATGTTCTGTATCTGTATCTATGAGGTCCATCTGGTCCAATATGTCATTCAAAGCTCTTCTTTGTTGATTTTGTTTTCTTTTAAATTTTTATTATTTTTTAAAATTTCTTTTCAGTGTTCCAGCATTCATTGTTTATGTATCACACCCAGTGCTCCATGCAATACGTGCTCTCCATAATACCCACCACTAGGCTCACACAACTTCCCAACCCCTGCCCCTTCAAAACCTTCATATTGTTTTTTAGAGTCCACAGTCTCTCATGGTTAATCTCTTGCTCCAATTTCCCACAACTCCCTTCTCCTCTCCATCTCCCCATGTCCTCTGTGTTATTCCTTATGCTCCACAAATAAGTGAAACCATATGATAATTGACTCTCATTGTTTGACTTATTTCATTCAACATAATCTCTTCCAGTCCCGTCCATGTTGATACAAAAGTTGGGTATTCATCCTTTCTGATGGAGGCATAATACACCATACGGACCATATCTTCTTTATCCATTTGTCCATTGAAGGTTCTTTCCACAATTTGGTGACTGTGGCCATTGCTGCTATGAACACTGGGATACAGATGGTCCTTCTTTCATTACATCTGTATCTTTGGGGTAAATACCCAGTAGTGCAATTGCAGGGTCATAGGGAAGCTCTATTTTTGATTTCTTAAGGAATCTCCACACTGTTTTCTAAAGTGGCTGCACCAACTTGCTTTCCCACCAACAGCATAAGAGGGTTCTCCTTTCTCCACATCCTCTCCAACACACGTTGTTTACTGTCTTGTTAATTTTGGCCATTCTAACTGGTGTAAGGTGGTACCTCAATGTGATTTTGATTTGAATCTCGCTGATGGCTGGTGATGATGAACATTTTTTCATGTGTCTGATAGCCATTTGTATGTCTTCATAGGAGAAGTGTCTGCTCATGTCTTCTGCCCATTTTTTGACATGATTATCTGTTTTTTGTGTGTTGAGTTTGAGGAGTTCTTTATAGATCCTGAATATCAGTCCTTTCTCTGTCCTGCCATTTGCAAATATCTTCTCCCATTCCGTGGGTTGCCTCTGTTTTGATGACTGTTTCCTTTGCTGTGCAGAAGCTTTTGATCTTGACGAAGTCCCAAAAATTCATTTTTGCTTTTGCCTCCTTTGCCCTTGGAGACATATCTTGAAAGAAGTTGCTGTGGCCAATGTTGAAAAGGTTACTGCCTATGTTCTCCTCTAGGATTCTGATGGATTCCTGTCTCACATTGAGGTCTTTTATCCATTTCGAATTTATCTTTGTGTATGGTGTAAGAGAATGGTCGAGTT